TAAATTCTGACCTAATATAGCTCAGGTTAAAAATTTTCATATAATATATTGTGATAATCTGCCAAAGTGTGGCGACTCCAGACCTCATCATTTTAAGCCAAGAATCTCCTTCTATGTTACATCTCAAGACTGCAATCAGAGAAAGTCAGCGCCGTTCCATTAGACATGAAAGAGTAGGGTAAAATCATTAATTTAATTGTATTCCTCTGACAGCTGGGTGCAGACTCGCTCTGAAGGGTTATGGGACGTGGTATAGGGGTATGGCATGGTATAGATGGAAGGGGGGTCTACATTTGGCTTCTGTGTTGAGTCTCTTCCTCTAAGTCCAGACCTGCCTAATCGATAAGGCACCGGGAGAAAGCCAATAGAGACAGACTGGCCTGGTTAATGGTCATCTGTCATCTGCTCTTGCTGTTAGTGGCTAATGTGTTTATGGCAGCGTGGGCTTGGAGAGGAAGACTGAAGGCACTTCAATTTCTGATTTACAACACACTTAGAATTCCACACAAAATAAAACAAATTTAAAAATATATTAATATTTGCTTACCATCCTGCTATTTCGAACATTTATGATGTTATATAATTAAATTCATCTTCAACTAATCTTTTTGTTGAAAAAAACAAAGATGAAAAATCAAAAGTCGTCAGGTTTGCAATAAAATAAACAATGATAATTTTGGGGTAAAATAAATTGTGCTGATTAAGGAATCATTATTTCACAGTTACTTATTTATTTAACATTTTATTTATTATTTTATTTTAATAGCATTTATATTTTTTTCTCAGAAAATATATTTCAAAAGGTGTTGTTGACTTGAAATCTCCCAGAAGTTATCCAGCAACCTTTTAGACTTTCATCATTATAAATGAATATTAGCTTCATCAGTCCATTATCTACATTAGCAGGATGATGAAGATGAAACCAGGATGGATATTTTAGCAAGACAATGATCTAAAACATAGCCAAGAAAACTCTCAAATGCTTTCAGAGAAAGAAAAACAAGCTGTAGAATGGCCCAGCCAATGACCTGACTCAAATCCAATTGAAAATACAAAATATAGATCAGATGGGATCAAGGTTTTTACACTCTGTTGAAGTCTGTGAAATAAAAATCACTCCTGAGCAATGTGACTTCATTCTACATACTGTATGAGAGTCACCATTAAGCTGAAGATAAATAGTCCTGAAGCAATGGTTCACTTAAAAAATTATGAATCTTTGTTCAGCAATCCTGACGACTTTTTTTTTTTTCAAAAGGAAATAATCCTCATCCAATACATATACACACCAGAACCCCCCCCCCCTTTTTCTTTTTTTTTTTAATACTGCAATCACTGAATCCAACACAAAATCAACAAAAAGTCAAAACTTGTTAATTTATTAAATAAAAAGATCATTTAACTCTTCAATTAAAGAGTTATACAACGTTCCTTTGGCTTAATCCCTACCGTTTTAGATATGTTTGAGATCTTTTTTGACAAGAGACCAAAATAAAGAAATATTTTTTTTTATGATTTGTGTCATTGTCATTGTGTTAGATTGCACACCTAAGTAATTTTTTTAAGTTTATTTTTTTTAATCACATAATTGTCCCCAAATGTCTGGGATATTATCACCACAAAATTATAAAAAAAATAAAAATTAAAATCACAAAAAAAAAAAAAAAATTGTGAAAAACTAGGGGGTCTGACATACACACACACACACACACACACACACACACACACACACACACACACACACACACACACACACACACACACACACACACACACACACACACGTCTTTGACCCTTAAACTAAATGTTGCAAACATTGCACACACAAAAATGCTAAATTGTATTAATGTTCAAAAAATGATATCTATACAAATATCTAATAATACAAATATCTAACCCCAGTGTGAAATACTATGCTTGCCATGTACATAAAACCACTTTTGTATTTATAGATTTTGAACAAAATGCTAATTTGAAGAATTCCAAATTATCTAACTCAAAAAAAAAAAAAATAATAATTCAAGCTTTTTAAATTGATTGCTAAATGATCCAGTAATGAATATTTTGCCATCAGACACCACATAAAAAGACTAGATTCATACTCTGGGCTCTACACTATCACGATGTTAACTCTCATTGGTCTTGAACGGCGTGAACAGGCCTTTAAACGCCTGCGGTCGGAACAGCCTAACACTTACAACTCTGGTGTTGAATCCGGATCAGCAGAAGCAGAACGTTTCTACTTATGAAGCATGGAAAAGGAGCTTCCACAGACCACATATGTCACATTATTTATTGTGAGATGCTCTGGAAAGCGTTCAAAAACGTGGAGATGTTTCTACTGTCACACATTATTTGGAGATTAGAGAGCTCAAACCGGCGCTAACTGTTGGAGGCTTGAAGGAAAACACTAGAGGGAGAAAAAGAAGGACAGAAAAAGACTGTTGGCTTTGGAGCTGGGACAATATCTTAAAAAAAAGAAGAAGCAGCACTGGGTGGCAGAAAGTGTGCCTGATGCAAGTTTAATTCCGAGTACGCAAGTGTGACTTCCACCTCAAAGACGATAGTCCCGGGTGTTCCTTCTTAAGCAAACATACTTAAGAATGTGCATGGCAAAAAAAGACTGGTCTAAAGAAAAAAAAATAAATAAATGTCCATCTATGTTGGTTCGTTTCAGGCCTAATGCAAAAAAGACTGTGTCTAACTAAAACCCAATACAACCATATGCTTTGGGATGTTATGAATTGCTCTGTGTCTGCCATTAATTGTGTCCTCTTTTGAAGAGGGCCTGAGAGGAATAACGCCGCTATTTCATCACTCCATAGAGCTTCACAATATATCACTTTAGCATCGATATTCCAATACAAGCATTCATAATGGTCACATCACAGAATCTGCAAAGTTGGGTTGTGATTATAGTTAAGCAGGAGCCATAGTTTACATGCGATTTGTGGAGTCTTGCATAATCTAACCATAATTGAGTGAAAGTTTATCATCATGTGTTTTTTATATCCAAATTTCATTAGAAATAAGAGTCCAGGCACACTATACACTTTGCACTATGTACTTAAGCACTTACACACTCAAAAGAATAGTATATGTATGTCATGTCATCCCAAATTGAACACAATTTTAACATTTATTTTACTAAGCGGAAATTTAAATTATTTTCCGGATGATGTATGACTGTTGCCAAATTAGTTAAATAAATGACCAAACTTCCAAATAATACCTGCTATAAGAATAACCACATTCACCATCAAGAGGCAGTATAATCACTCTCCTAGGAGAATTTTGCTTTCTCAATCCAAAATAATTCAGGTTATCAAACATCTGAGCCCGAAAGCTCCGCTACTTGCGCTACGGTGCTTTGGCATCGTTTTCTTGCAGCTTGTGTTGTCAAATCCACTAGAGGCTGTTGTGTACATTTTTGCAAATTTAGAAAATGTTACTTGGCTGTTTTCTCATATGTGCCATTTACAACTTACGATCGACTGAACCGACAAGCTGCGTCCCAAATGGCAAACTATACCCCATGCACTTATGCACTATGTAGTTATGCACTTACACACTCAACAGCATAGTGAATGTATGTAGTGTTTTCCTAAATGGAACTCTAACATTAAAAAAATAAATAAATAAATAAAAATTTTACGTTTTTTGCTAATTTGGCAACTGTCAAACATCATCAGGGAAACAGTTTGAACTTTCGCTTAGTAAAGAAAAAAGTTTTTTTTTCCATTTGGCACAACACCACATAGATATACTATGCTGTGCATAAAAACAAAGAGGAAATTCAAAATGTTTACCTGATGATATTTTATGATTGCCAAATGAGCGAAATAACTGACCAAACTACCAAATAATACCTGCCATGAGTATAATCACATTCAGCATCAGGAGACAATATAATTATTCTTGTAGGAGAAGTTTGCTTTCTCAATCCAACATAAATAAAGTAATCCAACATCAGTGCCTGAAAGCTACACCCCTTCCGCTACGTGAGCAAAGCAGTGACCGTTAAGTTCTTGAAGTGTCCAACAGTCCACACTTCATATTACCGGTTAAAGTAGTGCATCTTCCAGGTAGTTAAAGTGCAGAATTTTCAGTGTGAATGCACTACTTACACTATTCACACTACAAAATGGTGTAGAATCGTGCATAAATATGCAATTTGGGGTGCACCTACAGTATATTGTTTTCAAAATCAAATAAAAAAGCGCATCATGGCCAGATGCTTTTACCACAATATAATATTGCATTTTTACTTGGTTTCTAAAAACTTCCTTCACTAGAATTGAACTTTGTCTCAAGAGTGACACTGTACAAGGCGTGCTACAGAGCAAACTGACCACTCTGGCAAAGTCTTTCCTAAGTGGGCAAGTTGGTTTGTTTTTGTGACAATTTTTTTTTTTTTTTTTTTTTTTTTTGGTGCTGTGAAGACAATTGTGCAAAACCTATCCTTTATCCATCAATTATATGTCTGATAACATGAACAAAAGTTGTCATACTGCCCTATAGTGTTTATTTTACCAAGAAACTGCCATTAAACATAAAGCGAGGCACATATTTACGATGTTGCAAAAATGTATCACATATTCCTAAAGAGTCTTGGTTTTTAAGGCAAATGTGAGCATTTTAGTAAATTATAAAGCATCCACGTAAAATACATACATACAATAAAGACTACATTTGCATTAAACCATTTAATTGCTGTACCTGAATACTGTCTCAGAAAACTATAAAGCACTTTGCTGTACTATATTTATCTAAGCTTGTAATTTGTTTATACAATTTAATACATAAATGCACTCCCCTAATAAATCCTACTTAAACTAAAGTTATGATTTTTTTTTTCTCCAAACTGATCCATTCAACTCTTCTGGTGAAATTGTATTCATATTGCAATATATATTGTAAAAAAGAGTCTCAGATTTGTTTAATATTGTGCAATCCAATGAGAAGAGCATAAGAGTGAAATATAAGACGGTGATCCTGACCTTGCATCTGGTAACTGTAGGGTGCTTGTCCCGTCTGGGGTGTGGAGAAGCTGGAACTGTAGCTGAGGAAGCCGCTCTGGCCTGGAGATTGAGCCTGGGTCAGTCCACCCTCTGTCTTGATGCCTGCCCACAATGGACCTAAATCAGTTAGTCACAATCCTCAGTGTTACTCCTTTCCACGCAATCCAATAGAGAAGACAATAGTGGCTTGTTTTGCACTGGGCCTCGATTCAAGCAACCTTTGCGTTGAAGAGTTTCCTGCGCACAGATTTCCAAGAAATTTGCTAGTCGGAGTTAAGACAAACTGATTTTGGGATTAGATTGAATCAGGCCCAGTGCAGGTTTGCGATTTGCTTCCACTCAAACAAACACGCGAACTCTGGGGATTGTTCTACCTAAACAGCATTATCTGTGCGCATATTTTTGCTATGCTTTCACAAGGCTGGGAAAACATTTCTAGCTGGAGTTGGGCTCAGGGTGTAGATGATGAACTCAAATCTTCATATCTGTCGAACTAGCATAAAATTAGCAACTGTCTGGAGGAGTCACTGAGTCTGCAAATTCAAAACAAAAGGTCAGCAAAGTCACATGTTTCAGATGAAGGTAGGAAATGAAGCTGTTAAAGACTCAGATAAGCAGTAATGTAATGTAATGTAATGTAATGTAATGTAATTTAATGTAATGTAATGTAAGTTTTCATGTAAGTTTTCAAATTTTGCTATCACAAAAGGCACCCACATAAAAAATGCAAATTGATTTGATAAAAATTTTTAACATCCATTTGACGTCCATACACTGATGCCAATTTAATCACCATAACCACAACCCAAAAGGTATTATAGAAAAGCGTCAATTTCAAAATCCACTGGATTTTGTAGCCCTATACAAAACAACATCAAATTGACATTAACATTAGTGTAAAAACAATAAGAAAATCTGTAACAGGACAATCCTGTAATCAATTTTAAATAGACATCAAATTGATATCAAGGTGGTTTACATAAGTTAACATCAAAATGATTAGCATTTTTGTTGTTTTGACATCAAGGTGGCCGCTGGGACATAGATCTTTCCTGGGAAGGACTTGTAATGTAAATGCAAATTAAGTGACACAAGTAGCAAAGTTTCCAAACAAATTTAGTAGATCTTATACATAATCAGTACGAGATATGTAAAGGTAGAGGAGATATGCTACAAATGGTGATTGCAAAATTTGTATTGTGTCTCAATGTATTATGGGACACATTCTAAACTTATTCATGAGTATTATTTAGATCATGTTTTCTCACAAAATGCAATATTTATGAAAAGCAAATAAGCTAAACAGATCTCTTAAAATCACTACAGGCCACAATGGAGCATCTTTGACATAATTATTATCTAACCAAACTAAAACATATAAAATATGTCAAAACCTGTGAAAAAGACTTAATAATGTACACAGAACATTTTAAGTTAATTGGTGCTTTTTTCAGTAGAAGCAAATCAGTTAGTTTCTTAAGTAATTCAGTCAATAATAACAAAATAATACTAAAGGTTTCTGGAAGGTAAACAGTTTTATCTGCTTGAGTGAAAAGCAAAGCACAACCAAAATTGCAAAGCTTTAACGCATTAGGAAGAATTGGTTACCATAGGCAGAAATCCCGTACGGCTGGCCTGGCTGAGGGTATGTGCCATAGGCAGCAGCCTGTTGCATTCCTGTGGTGTATTGCGTCTGTCCGTACGCCGCCATATTCTGGGCGGAAGGAGTTGGAAGAATGTGTGGATACGGTCTGCTATTTGAGAGAAAAGAGAAAAGACAGATATGCATTTTTTACCCGAAAGCCTACATTGTGAAGTTTGCTCAAAGACAAATTCTCTGTGATTCTGAAGATTTTTATTTCAGACTTGATCAGAAATATTTAGACAAGCTGTGACATGGACAGGTATCACGACATTTAACATTAAATACCATTTAAATAAAATAAACAATTGAATGATAAATTAATTAAAATATGTTCCCTTACACGTTGATTGATTGATTGATTGATTGATTGATTGATTGATTGATTGCAAAAATAACTATCATACCTTTTTATCTTGATTTACAGAATATTGAAATGTCATTCAGGTGTAAACAATAGTTTATATTAAGAAAAAACTATTTCAGGATTATGTACATCGAGATAAAAAATACTAAATTATGGCGAAATAATAAATTAATACGAAATAATGAAATATGTAATCGTAGTAATGTGGATAGAATCTGATATTTTTGAGACAAACTCCCATATTGTGAAATGTGCTCAAAAACAAATTCTCTGTGAATCTAAAATATTTTATTTGAGACTTCCTCAGAAATATTTGGACAAGCTGTGAATTGGACAGACATGCCGACTATAAGCATCACATGTTACTTAAACAAACACCAAAAACAATCCTTTGATGAATTCATTAATACATGTAAATATCTTCCCATACACGACTGATTGATTAATTGATTGATTGATTGATTGATTGGTTGATTGCAAAAATAATGACTATTATACCTTTCTATCTTGATTTACAGAAGATTTAAATGTCATTCAGGTTCAAACAATAGTTTATTTCGAAGAAAAAGATTATGTATACGGGCATTAAGAAACCTAAATTATTAATGACATATTGAATCGTAGGAATGTGGATCTGCTATTTTTGAGACTTGCATGTTGATCCGAAATCCCATATTGTGAAATTTGCTCAAATACAAATTCTCTGTGATTCTGCTACTTAATCATAAATATTTGGCCAAGCTGTGAAACGGAGAGAAATCCAGCCATTAAGCAGCTGATATACATTGCGAAAGGAAAATAAATCATAGGGGAAATTTTTGCAAGATAATAATTACAACAGATTTTGGAATCGGCGGGCTGCAGACATCAATGAAAACAAAGCGGCCAGAGAGTCCAGAATCTGACAGAAGGATCTAATTAAAGGACCAAATGAAGTTGGATGCTGCTTATTTTTTAAAGAAAAATAAAAGAAGCCTTACTTGGAAGGGTAAATCTGGGGAGAGAACTGGTGAGTTTGTCTTGGGCTGAAGCCACTGGTTCCAATGGCTGCGGAGAGTTAAGAAAAAAGAAGAAGAAGAAGAAAAGAAAATAAGAAGAGGCAAGCACATATTCAAGCATTAAAAAATAAGACAAATATTATTCTTTGCCAACAGAACTTCTGGAATCCAAGGAAACAGTAATTACATTGCATTACACTATTTATTTCACTAACCTTATTTTAGGCTGAAAAATTAAGAGCAATAGCGAAGGAAAATAATCAGGTAATATGGGAGCGTTTTTCTGCTGACTGTATACATTAAATCCTGCACAGGATGGAAAGGCCTGGTGTCTGGTGAATGATGTATGGCTGTGGACGCTGGAGGCTTTAAGGTCCACTGTACAATAAAGGAAATCAGAAGGCCTGATTACAGGTAAGTAGTGCACATAAGGAGCCTTCATTAGACACATACCGGCCCTTTGGTTCCCAGCGGCTAATGACGGTGTGGAGACGCATTCAGCGAGCAACACAAACACTGCAGAGCAACATGAGATCGCTGATGTGCCACTGAATGCGTGGCTTAAGGCTGGGAACTTGTGCTCAAATTGATGGGCCTTTAAAAGGTAGTTGTCAAAAGGAACAACTTAACAAAAGCTACAATATAAAATATCTCATTTCAAATAATTATGAGTTAATTGTATTACTTTAAAATGCAATAGAATATAATTAATATAATTATGCAGTGTTGGAATAACTAACCAATTCCATGCATGTTTAATAAAAAAAAGGTCAGGAAAAGTTTTTTTTCAATTACTAAAATCTTCAACTAAATCGACAATTATTGGATACAAATGATTAATTCGATTCACAAAATTATGGTATCCTCAATGCAATGCAAGAGTTACATTCAGGGGTGCGCAACAGTTTTCATTTCCTGACTTATATAGGCAGCTTAACAGGTGAAGTGAATTTCGTCACTTGTCAATCATTCTCCATTTCTCTATTGGCCGCACCCATACATACATCCTCTTTTTCTACGAATTCTCTGCACAACATTGAATGCATAATAATTTCTCAACTGCAAATATTCTGCAGAGCTCAAGTTAATTTTAGACTTCATCTACAAAAATGCTTCATTAGTATGCAAAACATTTCACACTCAATGGTAGAAGTTAATATATCACCTTCAAGCTATACAAATACAATTGTTTAATTAATGAAAAGAATTCCCACAGAATTTCCAACAGCAGTAATTTAAAAAGTAGTAATACGATCCATTTTTATCAGTATTATTTTTATACTATATATATATATATATATAGTTTACATACCCCTTTAAATAATTTGAATAAAATAAGAGAGATCATACAAAATACATGTTATTTTTATTTAGAACAGTCTAGAGTACTATTAAGGGGCTGTTAAAAAAAGATTCAAACCCTCACTGATGCTCCAGAAGTATACACAATGCTTTTAAAGGTGTAGGATGAAGATATTCAATTTTTTCTTATTTTGTTGAAATGTATTTTTTCCATCATTTAGCACTGCCCTTCGGAAATAACAGAAAATACTGATCTTCAGACTCATACGACTCAAAAACAATCATCACAAAACAGAAAAAGCACTTGTAGATCATCAGGAAACCACACAGTATTGAAAAATATCCTACTTGGGACAGCACTAATAAAAAATATAAAAAAAATAGCATGCATTTTGTATGATCTCTTATTTGTTTAATTTTTTCACATTTAAACTAATTATTCAAGTGGTATGTAAACTTTTGAACACAACTGCTATTAAATATTCTTATATAATTCATATTCCTATATATATATAATTATTATTAGTATGGCTGTGTAATATTAGCATATAATCAAATATAAGAATGATATAAGATCACATAATAAATTAAATAAATTTTAAATAAATTACAAAATGTTTATTATTGCTGTAATATGAATTTTGTTACTTTATACATTAAACCTTTTTTATCATAGAATAATGTGATAGTTATGTGATAATAATATTATATGTGATAGTGTAATATAATAATAATAATAATAATAACAATAATAATAATAATAAATATCAAGCATTAAAATGAAATATAATATTTTCAACAATTACTCTTACTATTAATATTAATAGGCTGCCTGTTGCCATTTTTAGACTGCTAAATTTAAGCCTCCATCCCTCGTGCAACACTATTTGCAGGGCTTGGATGTCTTGCTTTAGGGTGGAGGCATTACGGATATTGCGATTGTCTTGCCTCGTGTGTATAATTGGCGGTGACATCTAAAGTACGGGTTAGTTAAGGAGCTCTGGCTCTCTCTGTAACTGTATTCTCTGGGCCCTGAAAGCAGTGTCTTTTCCCCACACTTCAGCACCTGGTCTGGACAAACACTGAACCTCTGCTCTGCTGCGTCCCGAGAGCATAAAAGCGTCTCGAATGACCTCAATTCACTCATATTGTCAGAGATAGAAGTCCGAGCCGTGATTTATACGACTCTAACATAAAGGTATCAGGTACTTAGTCAAATAGGTAGGGAAATAAGACAAATTAGCAGGAATGTAATACTCCATGAAGAGTACTTACTCGCATTTGCTTAGTAAGTAACGTGAGGAGTCTGTAATAATGAATAGACCTACCGAAATTTGTATGCTTTAGTTTGGAAATAGACCATTGAGAGTATAACGTTTTTGACACGGTGCAAGCGAGACGGATTTGTGGCTTCGAAATGATTTGTTGGGTTTTTAAAAATGAAGTGCAAATAGGCATTTAATATCAGCTCATTTCAAATTGACGAATCTCGTCTTACAGTTATCAAATTATATTATTTTTTAGTGATAGTTCAGACAAGAAATAATAGTTTGGTTGTTATATATTTATCCTGACATTGCTCCAGTGCTTTTTTTGCTCTTAATTTTTTTTTTCAATTTAATAATAATAAGTAGTTGATATTAGATCAACTACAATATCCATGTTGATGACAATTCGTAGCAGCATTAAACTTGAAAAAAAAAATATGGTGGAGTTTGGAGAAAAACTAATTCCAACTTTCCTGTGCAATAAATATTATATACAATTTTGGACTTTAAGAGCCATAGTGAACTGCAAGACAGTTTAACAGTTTTAACTCAGTTAAAAATGCTGTTTTGTAAATATGAATGTTGTTAATAAAATGTAAAATAATTACATGCAGAAACTTTGGAAACACTTTATTTTAATGGTCCATTTGAGTATGTCTACTTAATATCTGCTGATACTGCTCTCTCAACAGACTATTGGAAACTTTGCAAGTACACGTCAACTTACACTAACCCTAACCCCAAACTAACAGTCTACTTATAATCTAATGAGAATTAGCTGGATAGTCCGTGGAAATGAACTATCAAAATAAAGTGTGACTGACGCTTTTATACAAAGTGGAGTGATGAATAAGTGAATAAGAAGAAGTGGACAATGTTTTAATGTTTTGAAGTGGACTGCTGTGTTAATCAAGTCTCATAAAAGTGCAGTCATGCACAGAATATTCCTTAAAAATACTTCATTGAATTTTAAAGGGTTTTCCCAAGAATACATGCTTTGCAACACTATTTTGTGAAACCTTTGCAACATTTTTATATAAATGCTATCATATAAGCCATCATGAGCAGGACAATTTTGTATTATTATTATTCTCTTTTTGTAAAGAATTTTAAAGGGTTTTCCAACATACCCTATTGAATATCCAATGAATATATGCAATGTTTTAACCATTCTGTGATAAATTTGCAACTTTTTAGTACTTTCCTTTTAAATTATCTGATATTATATGGACAATCATTATGAGGACTTTTATTTAAAAAAAAATATGTATTAATTTTGTTTACAAAAACATTAACATTATTATTATTATTATTTGCACATTTAAGTGCATTGAACAAAAAAATTTGGTTGGTTTTGTTGTTAGGTTGAATTGAACATTAAAATTAGCCAACCCCTACCCCTTTAGTACAGAGGAGTATTTTTGCTTTGTAAATCCATTATAAATGACAATTAAAGGGTTAGTATCAAATGAACAATTAATGTTTGCAATCTTGCAAATACAAATAAATACTGTAAACTTTAAACATTGCCGAATAGCAGGAGTGTCAAAATACAATTAGCCATAAATACAATTAAAAAAAAATTGGATAACACAACAACAATATAATAATTTAACAATATATTATGATATAACATTTCAATGTTATTCAGCGATGTTTAAACTGTATTTATTTTATTTTTGTTGAGTGTGAATATTTATTTATTCTTATTTGATACAGTTTTATTTGTGCATATTCAATAGAAAAGAATAAAGTTGTTTCTTTTTTTATCTTTAATTGTAATTTATAAGACATTTGTAAAAGAGTCTTTAATTGTCAATTATAAGAGATTTATAAAGCATAAATAGTCCTCACTAGATTAGACCACAAAACAAAACATGAAGTTGAGTTAATAAAGCATTTATTAACCTACAGTAGAAATTACCTATTAGTATATGTTTAAATAATAAGAATTTTAAATGCTAATTTGAATAGTTTATTAATCACTTACTTAAACATTCTAAATGACCTTAGGATAGCACCAACTACTCTTAAATAACTAGTTTGTAAATCATGCAATACTTAAGTAATGAAAAAAAATCATTAACAAAGTATGAAAAATAAACATTAAACATTATAAATGTTCTTACAAGTCAAGAAAACTGCATTTTTATCTGTATTTATAAACTGCTCACCAATGTCTATTACAGTAGAGTTAATACTTAACAAATAATGAATTAACTATTTGCCAATGCTTAATAAATGATTTGTTGTGTGTAATAACAGTGTGACCGAATTATGTTGTTTAAGCTTATTTTTACTAAGTAATTTGAATAAATGAGAAACTGAATTTTTTGAGTGCATTAATGTACTATATAATACCTAAATGTTCAAATTTGACAAAACTATCCATTCGCACACATAAATCAAGTGTCATTCGGTGGTTTAGAAAGGCATTTGACTCTAAAACCTATGGTGTGTGAAGACCCCGGGGACAGGGTGTCTCTCTATGCAGGTTGAGGGGGGCTGTGAGGGTCATAACTCAACGCCTGCTGGCATGAGAGCTAGTAGAGTCCATCCACAGGGACACTTCCTGGGCCTCTGCTTATCACATCCCATCTGTAGGATCATCTCCACCAGTCTGTGAGTGTGTGTGTGTCTTTGTGTAAGTATGTGTGTGAGACTTACCTGATCCTGAGAAGCTGTCTAGAGAGCCGTCTGCTACAGAGGTGGCGATTTCACTGCTGCTCATTGGCTCTGTTTTAACTGCAAACAGAAGGTAAGCAGAGAATTAGCGACACAGCGCTAGCAAAACCTGTTGTCAATCACACTCAGTTAAACCTTTCTGCTTATAAATCAACATACTTAATGTGTAGGTATAATGCATGGCCAAAATAAGTAAATAAATAAACATTCGCATATGGGTATTTGACAAATAGGAAATAAAAATGTACTTTTTGTAAAACTAAAAAGACTAAATAGTTATCGTTGTGTAGTTTGAAGTCTTTGAGAAAATATACAGGGTCACTAAGTTCATCAGTTTTTTCTTAAATGTTTACTGAACTGTGTCGTAAAAATGTCCTATGGTGTGGCATAACAAAAAATGCCAAAAAAGCTATTTTTAATAACATACACTGTAAAAAGTGTTGGCTGCCTTAAATTTTTGATGTGAATCAAACTAATCTTAATAATAATAATAATAAAAATAATAATAATGGGGGGGGGGGGTCTCCTCATCCACCACCAGTGTGCAGCATCCACCTGGATGACGCGACGGCAGCCATATTGCACCAGACCACACACCACACACCAGCTGATTGGTGGAGAAGAGACAGAGTGATGTAGCCAATTATGATATGTGGATGGTTAGGAGGCCAAGATGGACAGAAGCCAGTGAACAAATTTGGCCCGGATGCTGGAATTAAACCCCCACTCTTTTCGAAGGAGATCCTGTGATTTTTAACGACCTCAACCTTGATTTAACATCTCATCCCTAGGATGGCGCACACTGACAGTATAGTATCCCCTTCAATATACTGGGGCATTAGGACCAACACAGACCACAGGTTGAGCGCTGCTGCTGGCCTCACTAACACCACTTCCGGTAGCAACCTGGTAGTCCTAAATTGTCTCCCTTTAAGGTACTGACCTGGGCGCAGCCCTGCTTAGCTTCAGTGGGCAACCTTGTGAGAGTTGCAGAGAGCTAGCTGCCGGCTACCATATGAGTCAATTGTACTCATATTATGTTAAACTGACTTAAAACCACTTGCATAATTTATACAATCAAGTTAGGACATGATTAACGTACTGTACTTTAATAAGTTACAATGGACTAAAACATATGCTGTCATGAGTAATTGTTCATACATTTTTTTTACAGTGTAGCAATTTAAACTTCACATAATTCATTAAGGTTGATTAAACCAACACAAATTGATTAAGTTAACACATGGATTGGACAATTAAGTTGTCCCAAAAAAATCTCAAGAATCTCATTTTACCTAAGTAGTTTGAATAAGCAGATATATATATATTTTTGAGTGTAAACTAAATGATGTTTGTTTTTGTTTAAATTTCATATTTAAAATAAGCTGAAACAACAAACACTGAAAAAAATACCTTTGTTTGTTCGAACTATTCAATTATTTTCTTTTCGGCTTAGTCCTTTTATTAATCAGAGGTTGCCATACAGAAGGAACCGCCAACTTTTCCAGCATATGTTTTATGTAGCGAATACCCTTCCAGCTGCAACCCAACAATGGGAAACACCCATAAACACTTTTTCACACACATACACTATGGCCAATTTAGCTTAGCCAATTCACCTATGGCGCATGTCTTTGGACTGTAGGGGAAAACGGAGCACCCAAAGGAAACCTACGCCAAAACGGGAAGAGTATGCAAACTCCACAAATAAATGCTAACTGACCCAGTCGGGGCTTGAACCAGCAACCCTTTTACTGTGAGGTGATCGTATTACCTGCTGATCGTATTATTATTTTGTTCAATTCACTTAAATTTGTAAAAAAAAAATAAAAATAATAATAATAATAATAATAATAATTAATTAATTAAATAATTAACTTAATTCCTTCATGTTGTCCCATTCAAAGACAAAAAGATCCCTGTTGCACGTCATGGACTTAACGAGAGGTTTCAGTCACCTGATCTTGCAGGGAGTCTATCAGTTTTCTGTGGATATGCCTGATGTTAAATTAGCATAGTGTCACACTAGAGGACATGGTTTTTAATTACTAAATGTAGCAAATTTCTATGTTTTTAGAAATATATGGATGAAAAAAAGCAATTACCATTTACTAAAATAGCCACTTGTAAAATAAAGCATGTATTAATAATTTTACAGCTTATTCTAAATTTTATTATTTTATTTTTTTATTTATAAAAGAACTGCTTGAGGCTGTCACACCATAGGGCAGTTTTGAAATTTGATTAAAAATGTAATAACACAGACGTTTTTTTATAACAAGAGGTCAATTTTTGTCATGTGTGCCAATAAAAATGCAAAGTCACGTCAACAGCCATGTGCTCTGAAGTGCTCATTTGGATGGTTTCTTTGGGTCATGCATTGTGTACAATTGGGTGGTCGAGTTTTTGTAAGAGTGGTGTGATGAAGTGGGGTTTCTACTGAGATAATAGAGCTTTCAGGCTTCAACAGTTCGGTCCTGGAAAACTCACAGGAGAGGCAGACAATTAAAGCTAATCTCTTTTACAAATAAGACACTTCCCTTCCAATACACACAGCTCTCGAGTTGATTTAAGGACAATGGCTGTACCAAATGTATTTCTGCTTAAATGCATAAATCTCTCCAGGTTATACAGGCCAAATGTGCCCGGTTTAATTTATTGTGTAACAAATAAAATGACTATTATACATTTTTATAAATGTATAATAGTTTGTGACAATGTTTATGAATCATATCATTAATAACATTAAAATACCTTTTGAAATCTTTTTTACATTATTGGCATCCTTGAAAACATCAGTTTTGCCCATTTGTCTACACAAAAAATCTAATTTTTTAAAGTATTAAATAACATTTAGCCCGATAACTTATTCACTGAATGACAATTTAGCATTATTCCACCTATATTTTAACATTTTACAATATAAAGACATTTTGCTTGCATTTAATGTTTTCTAAGCATATAAGATCGACCTTGGGTGCATTTCCCAAACAATGACATAACTCGTGGCTGAACTATTATAGTACGATGCACCATTTGGGAAAAGAACGATGTAGTGATGAGTGTTTCCCAAAACCCTAGTTGCTTTGTTGCAGATCCATTGTTTGAACAACATTAGTTATAACATAAAACATCTATAATGCCTAGGATGGAGTAACAACTTCTTTAGAGAAAAAACCCATTCTTTTTTTTTTGTGCAAATTACTGTTTTAAATGCACATGCAATAAAATTACAGTATTAGTTTTGGTAAAAACATGCACTCGTTTTCCATATTAATTGAAATATATGTAAACAGCAGATATAGGGCCTATGTTTCCTTTTCAAATATTATTGAGAATATTACATTTTCTGTTTTAAAACATAAAACCGCGTATTCTAATCTAATATATAAATCATAACTCAGGTTAGATTAATGATTGTAATTTACAGTATAGGCAATTTATTCAGAAAAAAATCCTGTGGGATATTGTTCATTTATTTTCTTATTATCTTTTTAAGTCTACATTTACAATTTGACACATTCAAACCACTGCAGAAATGTTCTAACCAACAGGCCCTTGTCATATATCAAATCAAGAGAGATGATTTTAATGATGATGATTTTAATTAATTTCATTTCAAGTTTAAATGTTGGAATGTTTGGAAGACATAAGGCATAGGAGGGATAACTGGGAATAGAACACAACCAGGAATATGCTTTTAACTACAGCTCTAAAGGTGTAGTTTCAAGCGTACAAGTTTGCGAAATAGTTTGCAAAATGTTTGTTGGAACGATAGATTTGTAAAACGACGACGCAACTTGCAACCTTAATTGTTTAACAATGGCTTTCGGAAATGCACCCCTTGTAAACTAACTAACTAACTAACTAACTAACTAACTAACTAACTAACTAACTAACTAACTAACTAACTAACTAACTAACTGAATGACTAACTAACTAACTTACTGTCTGTCTGTCTGTCTGTCTGTAACTAACTAACGAGCGAATAAATGAGCAGACGGACAGATGGATGGACGGGTGGACGGACAGACAAACGGACAATTGGACGAACGAACAAACGAACAAACAAACGAACAAACAAATCTGTCTGTCTGTCTGTCTGTCTGTCTGTCTGTCTGTCTGTCTGTCTGTATATCCATTCATCCATCCAACTAACTAACTGTCTTTCTGTGTATGTCTAACATGTTTTTTTATTTTATTTTTTTTCTAAGGGATGATGTCACACAATGTTTAATAACGCTGAATTCAGATCAAACATGAATTCAGTGGATTCACATGAATTGATTGCATTTACATTTAACATGCCACATATTAAAAAATAAATGCAGCCATTGAGAGCTTAACCAACCCAAAATGTTGCATGGTAGTACAGTTTCTTTTTTTTTGTAACATTGAAAATCAACATTTTACAGTATATAACATCTAACAGTCTGCTCGTAAGATCATCAGTCACTTAATTTCTTACCGAAAGGGGTTTATGTAGCATCAAATGGGAAAACAGGCAAAAAAAAAGGTGGGATTTAATGTCATGAGTAAAATGTGGAATGCATGGACGTGCAGCATAATTGATATGTCAAGGCAATGAGTAGTGTAATAAAAAGTGTTTGACCCAACCGCTTCGAAACTGCAATGGGGGCAACCGGGATGATTTCACAGTGTTTAAGACAGGCCCGGATCTTTGAAATGAATCCATCTCTGTCTCGGGAGGGGGTGGGGGTGGAGGTTTACATTTATGAAAACAAAATTCAGTATGTGGGTACGGAGTCATGCCCGCTCAAATCCCTCACGGCTGAGGTAGCCATCAGCCTGTCATGTCCAACATGTTGCAGCTATGCTCACTCTCAAAGGAACACATGTCGACTGGGAGCTTTGAAAACGTCCCAGCGCTCCCTCCACCCCTCCTTCCTTCTCCAACAGGATGAGGGAAAAATAGTGGCACATGCAGAAACGAGTGCAGTCAAGTCTTATCACATACCACACATAATCATAAAACCGTCCTGCTGAACATCAAATAAATAGTAAAAGAAAAAAAAAACTGAAGAGCATTAGAAAAAAGGATGGGTTGTTTATAACCAATTTTGAATCAAATTTTGATAAATATAAGTGTCAGGTTGACAACTTAATAAAAAATGTAATTCATTTATCAAATCATTTTGAAAATGTTTTGGGGTTTACATCAGTTATTTATTTTTTTTATTTTAGTTTTACATAGCAAAAGCAGATGAACTTTTGATCTGAAATCGCATATTTTACGTTGGGTTGTTTTCTTTGGCAGCTGGGGTGGCGAAAAAAAAAAAACATAAAATAACGGAATTTGTTAAAAATATAAAAAAATGTCAGACATTTACCATAAAATAAGGAATGTTAAATTACAGAAGTTTCCTTACATTTAAATTTACTGTAAATTTCTGTAATTTACCATCTGTTATTTTATGGTAAATGTCTGTAATTTAATGACATGATTTAAGTGTACATAATCAAATACATGTTAAATAAATGTAGCTTTGGTGAACAACATCATACTTTTAATGGTAATATAAATATATTTATTTATTTTTTTATTATTTTCTTTATATTAAATCAACTTTTCAATTTCTTTAGATTGTAGCAAAGTCATTTCACTCAGGGCCATCTTTGCAACGCCTCTCAGGCAGTATGCTTGTGCATTCTGTTAGAATGGGGAAACATCAAATTCTCCAAAATAACTCGCCAAGGTTATGATTAAATTCCATATTAGAAATCACCAATCCAATTAAACAACAACTGTCTCTTTAGTTTAATTTATAAACGTTTGAATCACACAAAATCTGCAGAAATTTACATCAGGTTTGAGCCCCTCCCACGGAGACTTGTCGGTGTATAGCAATTGCTGATAGGCTCCAATAAGGTGAGGCTTCATTTGCCATATTGACCAGTACACTTTTCCCTATTCAAAATAATATGAGCGACACTTATTGAGTATTCTATAGTCTTTCTTTAAAGGTACCTGATTATGATGTTATTGTTTTCTTTTATTTGTTATTATACAAAAAATAACCCAGCAGGTTGGGTTAAAACATTTAACTCATCATTTAATTAATTCATTATCATTTCATGACATCAGTTTTGTATTAAAAGAATCTTGAATTTTATTTTAACATTCAACATAACGGAATGGTTTATATTTGATTTAAAAATAGGTTAAAACAATGCTGGATTTGTAACATTTTTATTGAAAAAGTAAAATAAAATAATAACCCAACAGTTGCTTTTTCCATTTTTATATTGAGCTTATAAAACTTTACATTTTACAGATAAAATATTACATAATAACGATGTGTAATAATATTAATAATAATAATAATAATAATAATAATAATAATAATAATAATAATAATAATAATAATAATAATAATAATCGGTTAAAACAACATAGTCTTTTACTTTTTTAAATTAAAATAAATAAATAAATAAATCAACTCAACCATTAAGTTTGTCCATATCTGACCCAAATATCTGGTAAAACAACCCATATTTTTTTTTAAAGTATACTCGTAAATACCATTCAGCAACAATCTGGAATCAAAGCCAAAAGTCTCAAACCATGCTTTCAACAGATTCACAACACAGAGTCCAAATGAAAGGCACAATAGTTGAGGAGATGTGAGCACATCCAATCCACTCTTTTCACATTTGTGAATGTAATTGTTGGGATGGCCTAAGGCTGAGAGTGTGTTATTTCACATATGACGCCAAGTATTGTCCTTTCATTGTTTGGCCAGAACTGCACAAACCTGCAGCAGACTGTGAACTAGAACTTAACAACCAGTCAGCTGTGGTAAGCATAGTGATGTTATCACCTATAGGGAGAGAGAATGACAGGACAGGACAATGACAGGCTGCTCTGTCACACGCTTATCACTACAGAAATGCAAGAAAACCACAGTCAAGATTGCATTATGTAAACTATTTCAGAGCTGAATAAAAGTCTTATGGGCTGTAACATGAGCTGTGAAAACACTGAAAAGACTAAAGTTTATATAGTGCACGCATCATTTTAGAATGGGTTTGATTATGTGTGGGATAATTATGTATGAATTTATATAAAGATATGTAATTCAAATATTATCGAACAGAAGAGATTACTCTAATTTGAATAAAACATTGGCACATATGTAAATGTATAATTATATTTCAGGAACACACTTAACATACAATGTATATAAAAAATATTCTTGACGTTAAAATACATTCTAGAATAAGTCATACTCAGTTTTACTCAATTTTAAATAATCAGCTAAATGGGTAACACACAAGTCTTTAAAGACAGCAGGAAAGTGTATTAAATGGAATTAAATTTATATTTTGGGCCTGCACTGGGATCCTTAAATACTAAATAGAGACTGTTAATGTCATCAAATGATTCTTTGTCTTAATTACTTCGATGAGATTTGTTAACAAAAACAGTTTTTTACACTGAATGCCATTTAGTCTTTAAAAAATCATGTTAATTATGTAAATTTATACAAAAAAGCTGCATTAGAATTTAGTTTTGATGCTTGAAAACACCTTATTCTTCTAACCCATACACTGTATGTATTGTGCTAAAAATAGATTAAAAATAAATTAAAAAAAATTGTGGATAAAATATTAATTTTCAAAATGCGGTGTACTCAATTATGTTGAACACTGTAACTATAAATTATGAATGCAGAGAAACTTTTGAATATGTTTATATTAAAATCCTTTTTTCACAACGATCAAGCGAGCCAAAATTAAGAACTGTGCATGAATCTCTTTGACGTTACAAAGATACAGTACTGTACCACATATACATCAGAGCCAAAAATCTGTAGGTGTTTAAGACTGATTCAACTTTCACAAGTTAACAGGGAATAAATGTTACCCAAAGGAAATGTGCAGCATAAAAATCACTACTGAAGCAACAGTAATGAAGGAGGCTTGGAGACGTACCTTCAGTGCCATTTGGTGTCATGGAATTGTTATTTATATGGGAGTTGTCAATGTTGGGACCGTTTGGGGACTCACTGCTTCCACTTACTCGGCTGTGTGGACTAGCTAGATCCTGCATTTCCATAGACCTGACAGGAAGACACACACACATGCACGCACACAGACACACAAACATGATGGTCACATGATGCTGAATGACACAGGCAACCAGACTAAAATCTACAGCAATATATATGCTGCATGTGCTAAGTTAAAATAAATATGAATGTATTGTATTATATATATATATATATATATATATATATATATATATATATATATATATATATAAAACATCATTAAAACATATTTTTTTAATTTTATAATGTTCACAATTTTATTATTTTAACAATGTTGTCATTATAGTTTTGAAATATATATTTATTTCAATTTTAACTTTTGACTTAGTTTTAATAAATTTAGTTGTAAGTAAAATATAATTAAAACTATATTCATATTTAAAATAATTAAATAAAAACTTCTAACTAACTGACTAGTTATTTTTATTTAATGAAAAAATCCTAACCCTAACCCTAACCCTAAGTTATATAAAAATATGTTTTTTAATGATTTGAATCAATGATTTTAATGTTAGTACATATACAAATACATGAATATACATAATTTTAATTATTTAATTATTTTAAAACATAAATACATACTTTTTATTACAATAGTGTAGTTTGCTTTAGTTAACTAAAAAAATTAAAACCACATATTTAAAACCACAAAACTGGTATTGTAATGCATTTATAATAATAATTAAATAAAAAAAAATATATATATAACAACCACAACAACAACAATAATAATAATAATAATAATAATAATAATAATAATAATAATAATAATAATAATATTTATTATTATTATTATTATTATTATTATTATTATTATTATTATTATTATTATTATTATTATTAATCATTGGCTCTCAGAACAACCAAACTATTAAACAACATTCCAGCAGCTCTCCTGAGAAAAATGCTTAACAAGGGCATTCCCCTGAGGAACATCAAATGACATTTGACACAAATTTAACAATTAATGAGACATCCGATGATTGATTGACTTTCTCATTTGAAGCATTAAAAATTAACCACCAATGGCCTACAGCGCACGCTGCAATTTTCATCAGCTCATCTCCCCCAGTGATCAGAGAGATGTGTGATTGAGGCCTCAAACCTCAATGAGAGCGACTGAAGAGTTCACTAAAGCACGCTGTTTGCTCTGGCGGCCGTCTTAATTGTTTCTTTGTTTATGTACCGAGAGCCACGCCACTGAAAACATTATTCTACTGGCTCCATCGCACACTCGCGGGATTTTATTATGCATAGCAAATGGAAGGTCAGGCCAGTGTTCGTCTGCGGTCGGATGTATGCTACGGGTGTTTGTGTGTGATGTGAAGGCAGCCGCAAAAACTAAAACACACATCAGTCTCCAGAAAAGCATTATTGAGCTAATTGTGCGATAAAACGAATAAAAGAAAACACAATTAGCAATGGTCGTGTCCCTGCTATCAACAAGAATTTGGATTTTTATGAATAACAAAGAAGAGGAAATAAGAAACGCTTTATCAGCACAGATTATCATACCTCTTTTTAGCCGTCGTTCTTGATCGGCTATAAAATATCCGTTACAGATGGTCGCGGTTAAAACAAGGGGAAAATATTCCATGCCACGAAGACGTTAACGGCTCGATTTGCTTCTCAAAATAATGTCTTCTCCTGAATCCAACCTTATTTGTCAAACGTTCTCATGAACATTTTTCTAAGCAAGTGGCTGCTTTTCCAGAGATGCTCAGCTCACCTGAAACTGGACGCACCTCAAGCAAACTTGTCAAAAAGTGTATTTTCCCTCTCTTTCGATCTCCCTATCCTTTTTTTTCTCCCCCCACCTGCCAGGACCCTAAAAACAATATCAGCCCTTGTTATTTCAGCTCAGGGTTCTAAGTGAAGAGCCATCGGTGACACAATAGACGTTGTCTGAGAAAACATTTTTGTTATTCTCGCTCAGAATGGGAAGAGAGGAGTCGGTGGAACAGAGAGGCACATTGTCTGTAGGTTCAACCCCTCCACCGTTGTTTCCTCCTTCCAGGTCTTCCCTCCTCCCGGCCCAATGACGGAAAGGTGATTCATCATTGGTCTACGACAGCTGCAAACTGGATTAGTCCTCCCCCAATCAACATGCAAAGCGGCTTAGCCAAGGTAAGCAGGAATAGGGAGGGGTGGATGGGTTAGTTTTGGGTGAGCGAGTCGGGGGCGCCTGCTCCAGGTCTCTGCCTCTGGAAGTATAGGGAATGGATTGGGGATGGGGGGTAAAGGCTGAGAGATGGGACTTTGTTGAACAGAAGCTAGTCGAGCATGACACCCCTAGCATCTTTCATCTGCAATTGACACTATCTGAAATTTATCTACACTCCCTCTCCAGGCACACTGACAGCTCCTAATGACGGTCAGGGGGGATGATTGGGATTCGCCCAGGGGGTTTAGGGATCACCGGACCACTATAGACACCACTGAGTGGTCCTTGGATTTGAAACCTATTAAGTGCATCTTGTTCAAAAAGTTGGGAGCGTATTTTGTGTATACAGATAAGTGGATTGTATTGAGTACATCTTTTTAAATATGTTGTAGTGGAATGTTCCAAGAGGATTTGAGAAAATAAAGCATATACATTTGAAATCTGAGTAATTAAACCCCTTGAATTGTTAGCCCCCATGTTTATTTTTTCCCCCAATTTCTATTTAACAGAGAGAAGATTTTTTTCTACACATTTATAAACATAATAGTTTTAATAACTCTTTTAATAAATGATTTATTTTATCTTTGCCATGATAACAGTAAATAATATTTTACTAGATAATTTTCAAGACATTTCTAAACAGCTTAAAGTGACATTTAAAGGCCTAACTAGGTTAATTAGGGTAACTAGGCAGGTTAGGGTAATCAGGCAAGTAGTATTTAACTATGGGTTGTTTTGTAGACTAATAAAATATATATGTATAGCTTAAAGAGACTAATAGTTTTGTCCTTTAAATGGTGTTTATTAAAATTAAAAACTGCTTTTATTCTAGCCAAAATAAAACAAATAAGACTTTCTCCAGAAGAAAAAAATATTATCAAACATACTGTGAAAACTTCCTTGCTCTGTTAAACATCATTTGGGAAATATTTAAATAAAAAAATAAATAAAAAATCTGGGTTCCATACAAATGTTTCATGTTCCCCCAACACAAATGAATTAAGTTATCTTTAAAATTTACTCAGAATTTAAATGGATTGAACATAAAACAATTAGGTGGTTCACAAAAATCTCAAAATAGCACTATTTCAGCTCATTTAAAATAAGTACTTTGAACAAGCATCAGAATTATTAATTTTGTGTGTAAAATCAATGGTTTGACATTCTCATTTATACATTACCTAAAGCTGAGTAAATTATCTTTCTATTGATGTTTGGTTTGTTAGGATAGGGCTAAGTTGGCCGAGATACAAAAACTGTGAGTAAAAAGTTTTGATTTATTTTTAGGGATAATTTTTACTTAAATACCTAATGATTTATGGCATCTAAATAGATCAATTTAACTTGAACCAATGAGGTAATTCTATTTTATTTTATTTTTGACAGTAAAAATGTAATGTACAAAGAGTATATTGTAGATTGTGTTTTAATGGAACGTGCTGAATGTATGTCGAGCAAAAAGTCATGGTGAAACATTAAAACTATCATGCAAAATTAGTTGTTTTAGAACATATTGAGTGCATCTTGTACAAAAGGTCAGAGTGTATTGTATTCAAATCATCTTGTAAAATAAGTAGAAGAGGAAGGTTTTAAGTGCATCAAGTATCAAAACGTCAGATTGGAACATATTGAATGCATCTAGTAAAATAAGTCATAGTGAAACACGTTGGGTACATCTTGTAAAGTAAATCACATATCAGAACAAACTGAGTGCTTCTTCTACAATAGACTAATGTAATACCTATTGAGTACATTGAGTACTAAGTATTGCAAATTGTTCAAATGACGTCAATTTAGGATTGACACTGTATACAAAATGATCAAATATTATCCTGCTATTGTGCAAATTGTAATCGCTGCCTGACAATATCGCTGCCTGACACGTTTGTTGTGTCTGCTTAACTCAATACCTGAGGTTAACCTTCAACACAGCATCTATTATAATACCGACATATTGACCTACCATAACACACTTAAATCTGGTTGATAACTTTCCAATTTTCTGAAACATTTTCTGAAATGGCTTTACATGAACAAAAATAACGTGTTCAATAAGTCAGTGTGGAACTCATGGAGCAGCATGTGTTTCCTATGATGGTTCGAATGTTGCTATTACTCTTTTTAGCTGACAATTACTTTCTGCCTTCCACTTCTGCACTGATACCTGCGGCGCAATATCAGACCGGAGCCGAACTGTTGGATCTAGGTCACGGTTATTCCGCCTTTCCACCAAAAAATGTCTGAAAAATCTCTGCATGAATTTTTAATGCCAGGCTGTTTTCGTGATGTAGTAACCCGAGCTGTTTGGTCTTGCTGTTTTTTCACCCCCCTTTCTCCCACAATGGCCAAGTCCTGATGAATAATGGTTAGGTTTTTTTGGAATTTCTCCTTCGGTCTTCCTTCTTTTGACCCCGTCTAGTCATATTAACACACTTTTTTTATCTTAAAGCTGTTCCTTACATCATCTGAAGCATGGAAACATGACTTTGGCTTTCTATAAAAAGTCTTGGAGAAGATGTTTCACTGCATGAGAAATAAAGAGAGAATTAAAGACCTTGCCGGGGCCTGTGTGCACTTCTTCTGAAGCATTATGCATGCCGGAGCCCCTCATCCAGCAGGTGATTTTCACCAGGTGAACCCAGGAAAAGGAGGGGCCGGTGAGCTTTTAAAAAGAAAAAAACAAGCCCTTGTTCTGTACTGCTAAATATTTATTGTTTAAACAAAAAAAGGAGCTCATTCAGCATCTTTGATGTGCGATTGAATTCAACCTGAACGGAGCTGTCTTTGAAGCTCTCGGGAACAAAGAGCTGCGTTGGAAGTGTCATCAAAAAAGCCAAACACGCTTCACTCACGACTGTTTGCACGGCTTTTTGTCTCGCTTTGCTTATTTCAAGCGCTGCGTTTCCATCGGCAAACACCGCCGGGCTTTTAACATTGATCATTATAGAGCACGCGGGCTGTCTGAGCTGCTTCGATACGGATGACAGTCACCTGAATACTTCAGTTCTGACGTAATGAAAGCAGAATTTAAATATTTACTGGGATTCAAGTGTAAATGTAAGTCAAGTGTAAATGTAAATATAAAGGAATTTTAAATTAATAATTTTTATAATTGGTCAAGTTAAACTTTATTCATAGAGCATTTTAAAAAATGTTGTTCAGAAAATATATAACAAATTAAGCATAAAAGTCTATAAAATATATAAAATACATGATAAAATATAGCTAAACTACCTAAAAAGACACATAAATTAATATAACCAAGAATTAAGTTCAGGTGTCAAATGTCAAAGAAAACAAATGAGTTTTTGATTTTTTTAAATTCATTTAAATTACAAATTTAGTTTTTCATTTCTTGCTATTTCTTGCACTTTTTGTCAATTTACAAAGTGTACATTTAATGTATAAAGTGTATATTTGATAAATTAATAGTTTTTCAAAATCCAAAATTAGCAATAAAGCCCTGCTTTTCCCTGCTCGCCTTTCCAGACACGCTTTATGAGTTTGTAATTTTATAAGGCAAGACTCGCGCAGTCTTTTTTGAATTTCATAGACTATGCTAAACATGTGTTGCAAGTTACTAGTTTTTTGAAAAACAACACTTTAATCAAAATAACTTTAAAACAACTAATCCCAACTTAAGCTGGTCAGCTGAATCCACATGGTGGCCCAGGAAAAATAAATCCACTTGCAAAGAATGTCGATGTAGACAACAATTGAACACAGATGTGACTAGAATTAGACACAGTTTACAAAATGCTACACTTCACTGGACTCTGAGAGCACCGAGCAAAGAAATGTGCACCAACGACAACACACTGATTACCTTATGCGGGGAAAAAAAGGACTTAATGAAAAACTTGTAACTGTAAATTTAATTTTGTTGCAGGTACGTGAGTTCCTATGCAATCAACAATTTACAATTGTGAATGAACTAAAGTGCTGTAATTCAATTATTACTATTAATAGATGAAAAACAATTGATATGCTGATACACAAGGCCCATACAAAAATGACAATTAGGTCAAATGTTACACTTTGGCACAAATTAATATTACTTTTATGTTCTGATAAAAAATAAATAAATAAATAAATTGAAAGTTTTATAATTTTGCGTGCATAAATGTAAATTGTGGACGTGCTGCGGTTTGTTGAAATTCAATTTGTCTCTTTCATTTTGTTCAATCTGACATGGAGCTCAAGCGATGGATAGCGCAGCTACATTAAATCTGTTAATTCTGAGCTCTTCAACCCGCTAAATTATTTCCAGAAGTCCACCGGCTTTGAGTGTCCATCAGGGAAGATTTAAGGTACACATCTGATCAAATTCTCCCCACCGCAGCGATCACACTGCGAGCGTAAATTGTTACTGAATAAGCATCAAATTTGAATGCACTGTTTTTAAATCAGCTCTTAAATTTGAATGGTATCTTTATTTATTTATTTATTTTTTAATAATAAAATAAGACTATTTGATACAACTAAATAAAGCATTCTTATTTTCATCCTATTTTTCACTCCCTTGCTATTTTATTCTATTAACTACACTAAAACTCTACAAACACATCCTATAAAATCCGCCAAAATAAAGACACTCAGTTTTTTAAGCTCATCCTTTTAAATAAACAAACCCTTTGATTCCAAGTAAACAAACACAAAAAAATTTCTGAACTTAAAATAGGCTCTCAGCCCTTATTTCCTTCTCCATTTGCGACGATTTCCCGAGCCCAACAGTAGCATGTTAACAAAACAACACTCTACTGTATTTAGTAAACAGCTAATCGCCACAAAGCGTTTCCGCTGTCTCTATCTCATAAACAGTGGAGCGCAGCAGTTTCAATTAACCCTGTGTCTTTCACCGCACACCGTTTCCAGCTCGGCCGCACACATACGGATTGCATTGGGCCTTCGGCAAACAACGGCAACAACGGCGTGAGGCTGAACGCATGAGGGCTTATCAGAAAGAGCTTAATGCAGTCGAACGTCTGCCTTATTAAAACAAATACAGTGTGTAAACAGTCTAAATCAAGCAGCCCATTATGAGGTAATTAGATAAGCGGGGTTATTGTGCTAAAGGAACACAGAGAGGGTGGCTGGAGGCAAAACTATATTAACACACACACAAAGCAATGCGAGTAGGGAAACAGCTGCCGTAGAATGACTTTTCAATAATTCTAAATTAAAATCAAACTTAAAGAACACTTTAAAGTGTATTTACTAAATTAAAAAACTAAAGTTTATGTTTTAAGAAATATTATGTCATGAGTTTAGCACAAAATATGTAATTCTCACAAATTTCGGATTTAAAAAAAAAGGAGAAACAACTGGTTCTAAAATGTAAAGGTTGTGACGGCCGTCTGCCGATGTCTTACAAGACAGCAAATCTGCCTGTCTGTCTATCCCAAAGCATTCCTGCCTGCAGCAGATGGCATTGAATGTCAACTGCTAAAACTGAACTGGTTTTGTTTATTCTGCCAGCTGAATAGAGATTTGCTTTTGCTTTCTGGATTGAAAATAGAAATGTATTATCTTCGACTTGAAATTGGGTCCTTATTTACAATCCAAACCTTTGTTTCATTGTCCTTATTTACAATCCAAACCTTTGTTTCACTGCATTTCATGCATGATTTTAAGTATCAAAAAGTGGTAGTCCTCACCTAAGAGGTGAGGAGATCCTCAAAAAATGGTGAATTTGAAACGGCTGAATGCGTGAATCAGGTGCACAAGCTCTCAGGTGAGAAAGAAAGAGAGTCGCTGGGGGTTTACATTTGAGCAGCAAATACTGACAGGGATAGGATGTGCTTGAAAAAGAGTCTTAAAAAAAGTGTCTTTAAGATTTTAAACTCAAAAGCTGTTGCTTTATCTAATGGGAAATTGTATGCTAAATTACACTGTGTGTGTATGTAAAATGTTAAATACAAGAACCTATTTGAAATTAAATCTCACAACAAATGACTATTTTTAAAATATATATTTAATAATTTATGAAATAAAGTATAAGTGTAAGGCAATGTTAACGTTTAGAGCTTTTGAAAATTATATTGCTGACAAGAGTGTTAGGAACGATGAGTGTTTTTACAAATGCCAATTATATTGAAGTAAACTGACAGTATGAGGGTTTTAAAACTTCTTTAAGCATAGGTTTAAAACAATAAATCTAATTTAAAGAAGAATAATTTAGTTGTTTTGGATGATTTATCAGCAAAAGTGTCAGAGTTTTCTTTTAAATTTTAGAACCACTTGTGAATTTTAAGCCAACTGATATTATTAGTGTTTTAACACTACGAGTTTACAAAAATAATTACATTTTAGTAAGAGATTTAACTTATTAGAGAGATTAACTTATATTAATTAATATTAATAACTTCTCAACCCTTTTAAATGACAATTATTTTTGTGTTCATACAGTGTTTTTGAATGTAAAATCTAAAAATATCTCAATATTAGGAAATTTGTTATTTGTTGTTAAACTTTATAACTTTAAAACTGACAAACCTGAACACGCAAAAAAAGGAAAGGTAAAGCCCTGTTAATCTCAATAAAAAAGCACTTACTACAATTATGGTAGAATCCTTGCACTTTTCTTTTATTCCTCCTTTTTAACCAATCTTCTGTTGAGTATCTGTCCCTTCCACAGCAAAAGAAAAAAATACTTTTGTGTTGTTGTTGAAAAAAGCAGAAACTTCTCAGAGAGTTGGCTTTAAGTGCGCAGCTTAGCGATAAAAGACAACTTTTTTCTTTTTCATTTTAAGGGTGAAAAGTCATGGAGCCCCGTGCTGGATCTCAAGAGACAGACTCCAAGTAAGAACGAGAGTTGTCCGATTACTGCTGCAGGCAGTGACTAGCTAGTGTCTGAGGAAGAAAAAAAAGAGTGTGAGAGAGAGAGAGAGAGAGAGAGAGAGAGAGAGAGAGAGAGAGAGAGAGAGAGAGAGAGAGAGGGAGGGAACGTGCAGACTGAAAGCGCAGAAAGTTGCTCACAGGAAGACTTTAGTTTGGAGGAGGCACTGGGGAGTTTTCTTCACACCAGTCCTCCATATGTCATTCACTCACAGCTTTAAGCAATACAGCTTTCTTCTAGATTGTATCAGTGATCCTAAGACAATGAAACGGCAGATCCAGCTTGCATCTCTCCTAGTCTGCTGATCCTGCGCACACACAGCCTCGGGGCATGGCTTTTTTCTCTCTCTCTCTCTCGGTCTTGTTTATTTTTATTTTCTTCATCCCACAAACCGGTTCTTTTTTTGTTTTGTTTAGTCGTTGTTTTTGTGTGTCCAATTCTTTTCGGGTTGACAAAAGGAGACTAGGTATGTATTGAGTAAATATAGTTTGTGAATGATGAAGCTGAATTTATCGTAGTGAACTGGCTGGTCCGTTCAGCGTTATGGTGGAAGTCCTCCATCAACAAGTAGAGCGTTCACTGCTGTTTGCAAGGTAATGACTGCCGTCTGTCTGCTCCAGCTTATTACTTCATTTGTTTTCAGAGTTTACCTTTAGTATTCGCTCACGGTGGAATACTACCGAATGCAATCTATTATATGGAGAAATGCATTCCAGTTGTGGATTTCAATGTATGCATTGAGATAATAAATCAATTATATGCCAATAAAAGTCATGAACATATACATATATGCAGTAAATATATGTACGTGTTTTTTTATACATACATGCACACACACACACACTGACACACACACACACACACACACACACACACACACACACACACACAAATATAACATATAATACATATACACATGTATATCTTAATGTAATGAAAAATAGATACACAACATATAACAAACTGACAGACACAAACACACACACAAACACACGCACACACAAACACTAAGAGAATGTTACTAAGAGGATATTGTTGCTCTGTTTTAGCCAAAACAGGACCTAGAATCAAAAAAATAAATAAATAAATAAATATATATATATATATATATATATATAATTTGAAGATCTTTTTTATCATATAAAAATGAAAATTCATATTTTTTTAAACACATGCCAAGTGGGGACCTGAAGCTCTGAGTGATGTCTATCTATCCAATAGGGCACCTTCATAGTCTAGTGTGAAACAGAGACTGTGAAAACACACTCTTACCCCACACTCGGACTTTATTTACATGCTAAACTATAGAGTTTTAAACCGTATTACATATTATTAAAGAGTCTGATAGTTACAATAAATGGTAAATACTTTTGCTTTACCTGCAAATATTTTAGGCTAAAAATTAATACTAAACTAATATTATTTACTCATTAATTTTAACGAGTACACACATTTGATTAACTTCTCAGTGAATTTTGACAATATGCACAGCTGCATTTTAACTAAAATGCATGCCAGCTGAATGATGTCCACCTATCCAACAGTAGACCTTTATAGACTGCAGTGACATTTAGAGCTCTATTTTAACAATCTAGGCACAAAGTCTAAAGTGAATGGCGCAAAAGCATTAATGGCCTGTCCGAATCCACTTTTGCTATTTTAAGAATGGAAAAATACGGTTTGCATTGCGACACATGGTCTAAAATTGCTTTGCTTTTTCTCTTAATGATTTATGGGTGTGTTTTGAGCAACGTGCATTAAACCAATCAGAATCTCATCTCACATTACCTTTAAGAGTAAATTGTATCGCACTATGGCACATTTGCTATTAACAGTTACTTAGTAAGTGGAAAAACTGAACACTTCACTAGCGAGAAAACAGTTAAACAAACCATTTACTGTGCAAGGATAAAGAACAAGCCTCCTCAGCCTCTTTACTTTCTCTTTATTTTACTTTTAATCTTTACTTTAGTCCTTTACTTTCGTGGATAAGGAAACTGTGTTGTACACACTCTGCCGAAGACATCTGTTGCCCTACATATTTAATTTAATTTGGTAAGCACAAAGATCTGGGTCAAAACTATTTCTAAATTCAATCATTTCCATCTAACAAATAAATTATCAATAGTAATGAAGTGTTGTCAGAAAACTGAGTTCTATTCAAACACACGTCCTATTTTTATGCCCATATGGTGATGCATACACCTCCTATATCCATCAGGTGGACAAATCTAAACTTGCTTTTATTCAAAAAAATATGAATATGAAAATAATAAATAATAATACTGCTAATAATAATATTAACATTATATTATAATGCAAATTGTCAAAATTAGGGCACAGAAGCAGTGGTTTTTATATTTATGTAGAAAATAATAATTTTTGCAAAATTTTAATCCTTTAATTTTTTAATGTGTAAAGATATTTGTGTATTGCTGTACATCCTGTGTGCATTAAGCAATATGTACGTGTTTTAGACTTGCATATAGGCGAATACACTCTGAGCTGGACTTTAGACCAGGTTTTATTTGGCTAATCGTGAAGTCTATTTTAGTTCTTCCAAATGGCAATGCACCAACAATGCGCCTTAACACACCTCCTTTTAAGATCAGAACATCCATAAGTTCACAAAAACACGTCTTGCGCCTTATTGTGCCTAGTGTATGGTAGGGCCCTTAATTTGAAACACAGAGGAACCCACTCTTTTAACTCACAACCTGACTTTTTTACATGCTAACTCAAGCAATTTTTAATATTTATATATTATTCAATTTGCAGATAGTAGCCTTAAATGCTAATTTATTTAGTTTTACCTGCAGATACAGTATAGTCAACATTTGACATGATTTAAATTAGTTTTTCAAAAGACAAGACATGAATAGGTTTTTTCCATAGATGACTCTGACGAAAGATTTTACTTCAGATCTTGACTACTGTATTTTAGGCTTGACATACACACACTCACAGAAAAAAAAGTAAATCTACACCATCTCAATTTAAAAACCTGACTTAATAGATAAAACAGATGGAAATTTAGATTTACCAATGGAATTAGGAGGCCTCTTAGCAATTTGCATAATAATAACACAATCTAGCTTATTTTACATGAATGCAAGCCTATATCAACAGTTACCTTTGTGAACAACACATATAAATAAGCTACAAAAACACTTAATAACTCACTCATATACATTGAATATAATTGTTTATTTGTAATAAATCAGCCATTTATATGGTCCAGCAGTCAGACTTCTGCCATTCTGAACAGAGCTGAGCTGGACTCATCCTCCTTCTCTAGTTGTGCTGCACTATTAAAGCAGTTGTCATGCAAATGCTCAGGCGTTTAAGCTCCAGATGTGCCTACAGGTAAAAGCCGGCGTTTCACATTTCAGCCTGGGAAAATTAAATATATTACATTTTGAAGAGGCTCTTGATAACTCAATAGACTAATAAATGCAGAGGGGATCTCAAGTAACTATTGGCCATAGCTGAGGGGTTTATGCGCCAATCGAGTTATAACCCCCTCTCCCGCACATAAAATTAACTTTCAATGTAATTTTGCAGTTATTTTAAAATTGCACTGCATAATTATCCTGAGTTGTTTACGTCGCGTAAGCAAAACACTTTCCTTTTCCTCTAAGCAAGGCCATCAACAGAAAAGCATATCTCATATCAGAATGTAACTACCTGATAAATATCTGGCGAGAGAAACTTGTAATATTCAGCTAGACTGAGATTAGGATTCTGAAGGATATATTGCTTCATTAACATGAATTAATAAAAAATAGTACGTTTTGAAAAAAATAAGTAAAAATAGTTGTCAGTTTGTTAGTGTAAATAAAAGTTCTGATTCATATTTTGTAATCCTGATTCTGAAAATAACACAATTTTAGGTGAAAAGTCCCTCGTAATAATTATCTATCTATCTATCTATCTATCTATCTATCTATCTATCTATCTATCTATCTATCTATCTATCTATCTATCTATCTATCTATCTATATATATATATATATATATATATATATATATATATATATATATATATATATATATATATATATGGGTTTAATTAAATGAATTAATAAATAAATACGTAAATTAATTATTATCAAAAATATGCAGGAAACATAATATATAAAACTTAATATATACATTTAAACATAAAAATGTTATATTAAAATACATTTTTAATATGACACAAATGTGCAATTCAATAATTGAATTCTATATGTAAATAATATTTTAATGTAATTAAAATATAATAAAGTATATCATATTTTTCCAGTGATGGGTTGCAGCTCGAAGGGCATCCGCTGTGTATAACATATGCTGAATAAGTTGTCGGTTCATTCCGCTGTGGTGACCCAAGATTAATAAAAGAACTAAGCCGAAAAGAAATTGAATGAATGATTATTATATATCATATAATGCTGATTTTTAAAATCATATTAAAGTATTCAATTGTCATATGATTTATTTGAATAAATACCCAGGTAGAATTCTGGCCTAGATTTGGCATAAAGCTGGCACAGCAGACATTCATCTGGCACTGGCATACAGCATGTGGGTCAAACCTGGCCCAGGTGTGGCAGAAGTGGCACCGTCTTTAAGGCGGCACACACGATTTGGGCCTGATGTAAAATATAGTATTTAGCCCAGATGTTAAAAATTTATATTTTAAAATTTTTAAAATTTAAAAATTTAAATTTAAATAAAAATTTTTAAATATTTAAAAATTTAAATATTTATATTTATATATATACAAACACGTAAGTTTGGCCTGTAATGACCCACATTTAAAATTCATTCATTCATTCATTCATTCATTCATTTTCTTTTCACCTTAGTCCCTTTATTTACGCAGCGGATGCCCTTAAAGGTGCAACCCATCTCTGGGAAACATCCATATACACACATTCACACTCATACACTACAGACAATTTAGCCAACCCAATTCACCTGTAC